CCCGCCGCGCTGCTTTCCGTCACCACCGCGCCCCGTCCCGGGGTATTAATGTCAATTAACATTTAATAAATATCCATTTCCCCCGGCCTGGCGCCGCCCCCCCACACCCCCCAGACTCCTTCGCTGAGCTCGGCCGCACGGAGCGCACCGGGGGCCGAGCTGGGAGCTTCCCCCCCACCCCCAATTCGGAGCAGCCTGGCCTCGATTCCGTGGTGTTGACACTCGTGTAATGCTGAGAAGAGGGAGTGGGGGCAAAGGCGCTGCTGTCCCAGCGGAGAGCAAGGGAGGTGTAAGGCAGGAGCTCATTTTTCCAGCCGTCTGGACTACTCCTCCGCCCTAGGTTGCAGCATCCCTGCGAGCGAGCCTCCCTTCGCCGCTAAATTTTGGCAAAGAATCTTCTTAGGAGAGCAAGGGGGCGAGGGGAACGGGGGCCGGGCTCCCAGCGAAGCAGAGGGAAAGAAAAACAGCGGAGCAGCCAATGCAAAGCGGCTTTTAAAGGCAGGAGTTACTCTCGGACTTATTTGGTGGTCAGTTCTTTCCATTACCTGCTCCATAATTCACTCACTTTTACAGTTGATTTATCAAAGACCAAATATTTCTGGTCGTAAACACTTCATCTCCGCTTTTATCTGAGTTTAGATTTAAGGAGACACCCCCCTCCCCTGCACTCACCCCCCTTTTAGCCTGTGATGCTGCGAGGATCAGCACTGGAGAGGGTCTGGGAACAGCAAAAGCACAGGGTCCTGCGCTTGAAAACCAATCCTAGATGCTCTGGGATCTGCTGTGCCTAAAACCAGAGAAACTCTGCCTCGGTCGTAAAAGTGGGGTCCCCTCCTCGCACCACTCCCCCTCCGCGTGCCTCATGCCCACTGTGTGATCGCGCTTGTGGAGTTTCATCAGCAAGCAGAGATAGAGTTGTCATCCCCATTCAGCAGCACTTTATGGCTCTCCCCTCGGCGGATTTTACAACCCACATTCCACGACCTGCACAGTTTTACTTTACAGCTAGCCTGGCTATTTTGCCTTCTTTTTTTCTCCTTTTAATGACTGGATCCTTTATTCTTTTAAAAAGAAAGAAGGGTTGGGAGTGAGGAAAAAAAGGGAAGAAGAAGAGGAGTGCGGTGGAATGTGTGGAGGAGAGGCCGAGGGTTGCTGGTCGCCATACCCACCGCTCTGGGAAAAAAGGCGTGATCCTATACACATACACAGTCTTTACACAGAAAATAGAGCCAGGATCACAAACACCATATTGTAAAATTATTTCCAATCAGGCTTCAGGAAATGTCGGGTGGGAAGGAGACTCAAGAGCTGGGCCCTTTCCAGTCCGTGGTCGCAGGCAGCTGGGAGGTGGTGGGGTAAGGGTTGAGGCTTTTCTCATGTGCAGACAACCCCACAAGCACAGCCTGGGAGTAACAGCCCGCCTGTCAACTCCAGAAGTCGCTGCTGTGCCCAAAAAGTTCTCTGAAATAATTAAGGCCATCACACACCTTCCGAAGAGGAGCCCTGATGACAGCTTTAAGAGAGGAAAAATAGTTGGATTTGTGTCTGTAGCCGATCCCTCTCTCGCTTTGGCTCTACTGTATTTTCTATTCATTCCCCAACCACCCGAACACTGTGTTGTCCCAATGGCAATTAAAGCGGGCGCTGAGTCTGAGCGGTGCAACCAGGGCAGGAAACTTTCTGAAGTTGATTCTGCCCTCGGAGACGCGCACAGGCACACACACAGAATACACTGCACGGTTTTCCTAGAGGAAGAGAAATTAACGTTGGGGTGGTTTGAGGGCTGAGAAAGGGGAGGGCGAGATGGGGAAAGCCTCGAGCAGAAAGAGTTGTAAATAATAATTAGGAAAGGGCTGTCCCAGATTATAACGTTCCTCGGAGGATTTTGTCTCCCCGTGGGACTGCAGTGGGTGTTTGCTTGGCTACACCCAAACCAAGAGAGCAAACCAAGTCAGCATCCCCCAAAACATCTCCCTCAAGCCCCAAAGTGATCTAAATCTGCGTTTATTTCCCAGGCACGGACAGAAAACGCGGCCGCCAGACTTACACCAGGTACCAGACCCTGGAGCTGGAGAAGGAGTTTCACTACAACCGGTACCTGACTAGGAGGAGACGTATCGAGATCGCCCACGCCCTGTGCCTCACCGAGCGGCAAATCAAAATCTGGTTCCAGAACCGCAGGATGAAGTGGAAAAAAGAGAATAAAACGGCCTGCTCCGGCTCCAACAGCCAGGAGAAACAGGACGCGGAGGAGGACGAGGAGGAATGAAATGGGGCGAGAGTGGGATGCAGAAGCCGTGGAAACCCACGCGAGGAGAAATAGGGGGAAAAACACACAGAAAAAGACTATATATTAAAATAGAGAAATGATAAGTGCGTAAATAATTAAAAACCCTAGGAATGATACATTGTGTTTCCTGACACTGAAAAAAATACTACCTATATTAAAGTCTTTTTTTTTTTTGTACAATAGAATGACTATCTACCTATTAAATGTGGCTTTAGAGTCAGAATAGACACGTTTTTCTATGTGAGTCTTCCTATAGTACACGTAATTTGTAAATCTCCGTTTGTACTTCGCGGTGTACCTTTTGGTATGAAGTAACGTGGTCGTGTTTAGCACCTTTAATTTAGAAAATGTGACCTTGAAGTCTGAATGCAAATTGTACTTAGCATATATAGTCCTGTACATAATATGGATGATTATCACGCCTTCTCCCTGTAACTTCTGTGATTCTTTTCTCTTTGCTATGCTCTTTTGTCTGTGTATATTTTTACCTGGGATTTCTTCCTTTTTCAAGTCTCTACGAGAGAAAAAAAAAAAAGATGAATTAATATTGTGCTACGTAAAATGTTGCATATCAAAGTAGCAAATTATTTAATGGCGACGTGTTGCTTTTTTATTTTTTCCACTTGTCCGTGATTATTATTCTTAGAAATAAAAAGGAAATCTCCAATAATCTGCTGTCACGTTGGGTTCGTTCCTCTTTTTCTTATTAAAAATAACACGCGGGCTTTAGGAATTGCTTTTTCCCGGGGAAAATAAATATATTAAAAGATCCTTTTTGATTAATACATGGCCCGACCTATCATCCTGAGCTTCTCTCTTCGGTTAGGAGAGTCATTCTTTTCAAGATTTCGGTACCTTTTCAATAGATTTGGGGAATATACTGAGAAATAATGGATATTCGGGGCTCTCGAAGTGCGAGTTGGTTTCCTCTCTCTGTGATGGCGCTGAGGCTATCACTGGAGTAGGTAACAACATAAAGGAGCAATGGAAAGAGATAGCCCAAATAATCTTTCCGCCCCTTGTTTTAATTCCCTTCTTCTTGTAAGCAATTTGCAGAAAACCAATTTATTTTGCCGGGCCTTTAGTATTTTTTTATAAATTTATTTAGATTCTCCCTCCGCCCTCCAATTACTTTACTGCGGAGTGGAAGTCTTTCATTAGCACCAAATAATGTTTAGCATCAAAGCGCGCATAAAATAAATTAAAGCAATTAAACGCAGGGAAGGCGACAAAAAAAAATCAACAATGAAAAACAAAAGGCGAGTAAATTTAAGCACTTGCGCGGGGGAGCATCTCCGCCGCCCTCACCCCCTCCCGCCCTCGCCTGTTTATTTCCACTTCCAGGCTGCACAGTAAAAATGCGGATTCCTTCCGCGGAAGCTCCACGTAATTTACTCCACAAACGCCTTGCGCAAGATGCACAGAGAGGGAAAAAACCAAATTTAAAATTAAAATAAAAGGCTTTGGAAGGACTTGGCGATAGCAATTTTCCACCTTCGCCCCTCTCTGTCGCTCTGATTTTTCACCGCCCACCACCGCGGACGAGTTCGCATCCCGAGCGAGCATCCTTGAGCAGGTTTTAGCGAAAATCAGCTGCCACGTCAGGCATCTGCGCGCCCACAGCTGTAATACGGATTTACAATATCTGCTGCATGCACTAATTATGGGAAGCCCATTATTAGCAGCAGCTCTCAGGGCTTTTGCCCACTGAAATTCCCACTTCAAGGGAAGGAAATAGAGAGGGAAATCTTTTTCTCCTTAGTGAAATGTCTTGGTGCAATCTCTTTGCAAGAGCAGCGATAAAATAAATAAAATAAAATTTTTTTTTAAAGCAGCGATTCCAGAAATTTCCCCCCCTGCAGTGGCCCGCCTGGTTGCATCCCCTGTAATGGACCTCGGCGGCCGGGGGCAAGCAAAAATCGAGGAGAATTTCCTCAAGAAAAAGGGAAAAGCAGTCAGAGCGACGCTTTAAGCGGGTTCCCGGGGGGGTGGCCCACCTTGTCGGAGCATTCCCCTCTATAGCGGGGGAGCCGGGGGGGTCCCGGTGGCCCCGTGGTGGGGTTGGCTGTGGGGAGCCCGGCAGGCACCAACCCCGCCGGCTCGATCTGCCCAGGGCATGGGCACCCCAGCCATGCATTTATTGCCTTTATTTGCCTTTTTGTTGTTGTTGTTTTCCCTCCCCTTGCAATCTGCTAATTGCCCCTTTCAGCAGAAAGGATCCCAAATGAGTAAAAAAAAAAAAAAGAAAAAAAGACATCAAAAACCCCACCCGAACCCCACTGTTTTACTGTGCCTTTCCCCATTTAAAAGCCAACCTCATCCCCAAGCTCTTTATTCCGGGGGGGCTGTGACTGTTCCTACCCTAACGTTATTTCAGTTATTTCTCTCCAACACTCCCCCACTTGCAACCAAGGTGAAGGGGGCGAAAAAAATCCCTGAACCCGCTTTCATATTCTTTTATTTTTGTTTAAAAAAAAAAAGATGGCGGCTAAGAAAAAGACTGCTGTTAAACCGGTCATGAAGAAATGCAATAAATTCCTTGTTGTTTTATGAAAATTTACAACTTTGTGATAGAACTTTATGAGTGGCTGGGTTCTGGGATTGGCCAGAGCCGGTCATGTGGACTGCTAACCGTGAACATGAACTTTTTATTATTTCCCATGTGGTTATATTGCACCATTCTTCTGTCCGCTGCACCTTGGGTCGGATCAGTGTCCTCTATAGGGCTCTCGCCTCTTTACATTTTTTTACTTTTGTGTATAAGCTCGGTAGGGCTAAAACAGGGGAGAGGGGCGGGGGGGGACGCCTGTGCACACATCCACACGCACATATAGGCACCCACCTCCGCACACGCACATAGGAAAAGAGTTATATGATTTTTTTTTAATTATTATTAATTTTTTTTTTTATTTTTAATTCCTCTGTTAATTTGCCTGCTGATTTGGAAATCTCAGTAGTAATGGAGGGGCAGAGGAGATTCTGGACCGAGTGGAGGCTATCATTTTTCAAAGAGGGAAGTTACTCCATTTTCTATGCAAATTACAGAAATGCAAGAAGCTCTCCCAAGTCAGAGAGGCAACCGACGGCTATCAGGTTGGGACAATATTTGTCAGCTAACAGATAAGCAAACGCTGTCTCTCTCTCCCTATATATTTTACTTATACCACAGAAATGGACGTCAAAAGGTAAGGGAATAATATCTGTTTCTCTTAATTTATTTTTTTTATTTGAGAAAATGCTTTTGTCAAGCTGCCTTTTCTATTTCATTCCCCATCTCCCCCTTATCCAGGGGTGTGGGATCAGAAGGAAAAGGGTGGGGTGATGAAGAAGGGGGGCACTGGAAGAAATTAGGGGTGGCGGAAACCTGTTTAAGGGACAATTTCCCCGAAAAAGTGTAGGTCAGAAAAAGAGAGAAAGGGAGGGAAAAAGAAGGGTGGGGAAAAGGTAAAGAGAGAAACTAAGAGAAGGAAATAGAGAAAGAAAATAGAAAAAAATAGAAGAAAGCACGAAAGAAAAAGAGTGGAAAGAATCAGAGGAAGAAAATGGGAAAGGAAATAAGGAAGAGAAATAAAATAACGGATTAAGAAGAAAGAATAAAGCCTGTAAGGTCACCTGGAGATGGTGGATTGGAATGAAGGGTTTTGCAGTAGCTCGGTGACGGAGGCTTTTAGATACCGCCTTGAAAAAAATACGAAACCCTTTGTGGGCAGTTGTCGTGTTTTATTTACCCCCACCCCCACCCCCCCGCAGGATCTCTTGCCAGTTTCCCTGTCTTCAGGCAAGCCTCGTAATTTGGCGAAGTTTGTCTGGAAGGGTTTTGCGATGCTCTCCAGGGTCGTTATTATGTGGGTGGTTTCTGCGGAGAGGGCAGCTCGACAATCCTCGGAAATAAGGCTCGGGAAATTAGGGTTTTGTTGTTTTTGTTTTGTTTTGTGGTGTTTTTTTTTAAAGGGCGGGGTGGGGGACAAAAAAAGAGACCAAAAAAAAAATAAGAAGAAGAATGAAGCCAACCCCGAGAGCAGCGCTCTCGCTGTATTTTTCTCCCCCTCCTGAAACTCCCAAATGAAGCTGACGTTGCGATGCAATAAACCTCCTCGTATTTAATTGCGATCCGCGGTGTTAACGCGGCTTCTCGGCTCTCCCGGTCGGAATCCCGGTTGGGTTTCAGCCCCGCGGTGTGGCCGAGCTTTTCCAGCCCCGGTTATGCGCAAATATTCCCCTTTCTGCCTGTCGGGTACCCTACCGCTTGCTTCGGATTCAGGAAAACATTTATCTGGAGATGTCCGTCATTTAAAATGTATTCATTTTCTTAAGATTTCAAGCGTGGGGGGTTGAAATATAATACTAATTGCTACTGTTACGAGGTGATTTTAAATAAGATAATGTAAGAGCGGGTGTATGTGAAGCAAGATTGAGTAAGAAGAGATTCATTACTTAAGCATAAACCATTTTATGACGTGACGATTTATCTCATCTAAACTGGCTGTGCCTGAATATTGTGTGGACAAGAGTAAATGATCGCAAGCCGTGGAAATAATAAACACGAAGTCATTTTTAAAAGCTATTTCTTCCCGAACCTGTTACATTTTTCATAAATCACGAGGGGAAAAAATAATGCCGATTCAAACGCCTATGTCTCTGCGCTCGGTTTTTTTTTTTTTGCTTGCGTAAGGAAAAATGTATATAAAAAAGTAATTTAATTTAGAAACCTTGCTCCAAAACGCTTTTATGCCGATTCTTCCTTATCCTGCGTGGGCAACCACTTGTGGGAAGTGCGCACCTCGGTGCGGGCGGCTCTTTTTAACCATTTCAGTCCGGTCCGGTGTGGAAAGACCGAGAAACCTCCGTGCGCCCCCGGTGTGAGGGAGGGGTCCGCGCTGCTCCCGGCGGGGCTCCCCTCCTGGCATCCTCTCCTGCTTGCTTATTTAAGAAAATAAGAATAGTAAAAACCATCAAACGACATGAAGGGGGG